CTTCGCTCCCCGCCCCTCCCCCCTGCCTGCCTGCCTGCTCGCACCACCTTCCACCCAGACCGTCTCTAAAGGGAGTTCTCGGTTTCCTCCGATTTCTTATGAATCCAGGATGGGCAGCAAGGAAGATGTGGGCAAGGGGTGTGCAGCGGCCGGTGGTGTCTCCAGCTTCACTATCCAGTCCATCCTGGGAGGGGGCCCCTCGGAAGCACCGAGGGAGCCTGTCGGCTGGCCGGCCAGGAAGCGCAGCCTGTCCGTGTCCTCGGAGGAGGAGGAGCCGGACGACGGCTGGAAGGCGCCCGCCTGCTACTGCCCAGACCCGCACGGTCCCAAGGAGCCGGGCTCCAAGCACCATCCCCCCGTCCCCTTTCCTTGTCTGGGTAAGAATCGCACGTCGCCAGCCTGGCAGCTAGTGAGCGCGAGGGGAGCGAGGCTGTGGGCCTCACCAGGATTGCGGAGCCGGGCTCCCTTGGGCCTGAGCTGTGGCCACTGGGAGTGCAGGGTGACGGGACTGGACACGCGCGATGTGGTGCCTCGTGGGCTGGAGGAGGAGGGGAACACAGACCCCGCGAGCCGAGCGACTCGGGCGTCTTTTGGAAGATTAGGTTGCAGGCAAAGTGGACCACAGAAGGCCGGGCCCTGGCCGGAGGTACATGTGGCTCTGCCGATCCCTTTGTATACGGGATACTTTCTGGACACAAAGTCTGTCAGTCGGGTGTGAGAGTTGTCTCTGCTGCAATCTCTTTTCGCCTTTTCCCTCCTCTTTCTGTCTCTGTCACCCCCTGGGAATGATTAGCACTCTAAGATGATTGACAATCGTGCGTTTTAGAGATGGTTCCTCTTTACAACATTCGACGAAGGGCCCAGTGTTAGTCCTTAACATGATTTACAAATAAATGACCTGTGAAATTATGCCACCCTATAAAGCTGGAGGAACTCTTCCAACTCAGTTATTACAAGGCGAAATCTCCTTTCAAATAATCAGTGTTTTCCGTCCAGACCTTCTCCCCTGGCTGCCACCTGTCCTTTCAGAAGGGTGGGGACACAGAGACCCCAGCCTCAAAGTAGCAGGGTCCCTTTTCTGTTTCTTTTAAAGGACTGGGTGCTGAGTTTCAGGTGGCAGCAAGAGGGAGAAGAGGAGGGGGTTGGTGACATGGGACCAAGGCTGCAGGTGTCTGCCAATCCTCTGGTCCCAGGAAGAGCTGCAGGTCTCCGTGACTATAACGCACGGCCTTCCTGTTTGTTCTCCTTAGGTACACCGAAGGGCAGCGGAGGCGCTGGGCCGGCGGGTTCAGAGCGCACGCCTTTCCTCTCCCCTTCACACTCGGACTTTAAAGAGGAGAAAGAGAGGCTTTTGGCCGCCGGCTCGCCCTCGCCAGGGCCAGAGCGGCCGCGGGACGGAGGCGCTGAGCGGCAGGTGGGAGCGGCCAAAAAGAAGACGCGCACCGTCTTCTCGCGCAGCCAGGTGTACCAGCTGGAGTCCACCTTCGACATGAAGCGCTACCTGAGCAGCTCGGAGCGCGCCGGCCTGGCCGCCTCGCTGCACCTCACTGAGACGCAGGTCAAGATCTGGTTCCAGAATCGCCGCAACAAGTGGAAGCGGCAGCTGGCCGCGGAGTTGGAGGCGGCCAACCTGAGCCACGCCGCGGCGCAGCGCATTGTGCGCGTGCCCATCCTCTACCACGAGAACTCGGCGGCCGAGGGCGTGCACTTTAAATGGCAGAAGCCCTCGGCAAAGTGCAGGGCATGCCGCTGGTGTTCCGGGACAGCTCGCTGCTGCGCGTGCCGGTGCCGCGCTCTCTCGCCTTCCCTGCGCCGCTCTACTACCCCAGCAGCAACCTCTCCGCCTTACCGCTCTACAACCTGTACAACAAGCTCGACTACTGACTCGCCTGCCGGCCTCCCGCCTCCACCTGCCCGCGGACCCTGGCGCGGCTTGCGCCCTCACAGGGCTCCAGAGCAAAAGGGCGTGTGTCCAGAAATATTAAGAAATACACCATGTGTATTCATTATCTCGTATTTATGGGCTCTGCCCTACTTTTCTTTTTTTGTTTGTTCGGGTATTTATCGGCACTCCTCAAGCTGGATCGCCTGCTTTCCACCTAAACCAAACCAATGAGTTTTCAAAACCGTATTGGAGGGGGATTTTTTTGGGGTCGTGGTGGGAAAGGGAGTTTTGGCCAGATCGGCTTTGGTTGGTAGGAAAAAAAGTCAGAAAACACCAACAAAACTAGATATACTCCTTACCCGTATGTACACCTGGCTATATGTACACGCACTCACACTCGGCCAAACCAGGCTCTCTGGGGCTTTGGACATTGATCTAATCACCTCTTTTTCTTTCCTTCATCCTGAGGATGGGTAGGGGCGAAATGGGGATAGTGCAGATCTGTAAATATTTTAAAAGAAAAAATAAAACATTTTAAACATCGTTGCTAAGGAGGGACTGTTTATCCTGCAGAATAAGTCGCAGGAGGCTTTCTCGCTTTTCAGAGACAGAGCTCCACTTCGTACCACGTGGAGGGTGGGGCCGGGGTCAATGGTAAAAGGTCAGGAAGTCATCGCTGCTTGGGGCGCACTTCCCAGTCCCTACTTGCAGTCCCCATAATCTTGGCGCGGGCTGGGGCCCACTCCGGCTGGATCAGGCTCCAGAGCCTGTGCCAGGAAAGACAAAGGCAGGAAGGCTGGTTATGCGGCTGAAGCGGTTGTGTGAATGAGCCCTGCCAGGGCGCAAAGAGCAACTTCTTGCACTGTATCGCCTTGGGTTCGGCCAAAGCAGGGCACGCGACGACGTAACCCAAGCTAGGCCGGCGTGCCTTTTCTCCTCCGACGTAGGGCAGGCTGCGGCGCCGCTTGTCAGTTGGTAAAGCGTCCAGTCGTCGCCCTGAGCCTGGTGCGACCCGCTCACAGCCACGCACAGTTCTCCAGCTGATTACACAGTTTCGCGTCTCGCGCGTAGCCGGAGCTGTACGCAGCAAGGCCACACAGGGATCCGAGGTCGGAAAGAAGGCGCAGGAGCAAAGGCGCTTCTCCCCACTCTTTTTTGTTAATACAGTATTTTGCATTGTGCTTGGCTAAATGGCTAGAGGACTGGCCAGCGCGCACCCGCTCTTTCTGTATTCAACACTGATGCTGTGCAGGCGAAGGCGCCCAAGGACTTTGGTGCCCAGATGCCGCGACGGCGCTGGGGCGAAAAAGACGCTGCGCGGAGAGATTAGCTGCGTTCGAGTAATGCAAACGGCAGCCTTTCTCTCCTGTGACATCGCAGCCACCTGTTCCTTGTAAAATGTAGAAAATGGAAACACGAGGGAGCACCACCGAGGTCCTTGAGCCTCCCACCGGTATATCGCTAAGCTGGTGCAAAAAAGCTGGAGTTTGCCTCTAGAAGGGAAACATTTGGGTGAGAGACTTGTCTATTTGAGCCAAAAGGCATCAAAATTATCTGCATTTTGTGAAACATACAGATTATCTGTAAACGTTTATGTGATCCACAGTATTCTGTGTTAAACGCCTGACCAAAAAGATTTTCTGATATTGTCCATTTTTTCTTCTTATATTAGCTTTGAAAAATCACTATTTTCCAAGTCAAAAGGTTCCAGCACTTGATTCAATTGCATTTACTTCATTTCAACTAAGTTCATATTAATATTTAGTCAGCCCTAGTATGTGTTGAGAACCTACACTAAGTTTTGGGTGGTCAGAGAGAGAAAAAAGTGACTTAGATCAGTTTTCTGATTTATTTAGTACATATATTTTATTTTACTGGGTTTTCATCCTCAGATAACCCTCTTAAATTCTTTCCCCCAAAGGTTGCTATTTGAATATTCTATGCAGAAACAACCAAATTATTTCTTAGAAACTTGTGTAAGAATAGTCCATCCATATCGTATTTGTTTGCATTTTAATGGATTATTGTTTGATGAGGGTTTTAATAGTATTGAGTCAAAACATTCATTTTAGTCTTGCTTCTGTTGTAGGAAGGAGTTTCCTCCAGTTATATAGGCATTTAGTGATAGAGTTTATTCTTAGATTTTAGGGGAGGATTCTTTGCCAGTTTGTTTCAGATAGTGTATTATCTCGCCCTATTTAATAATCGAGAAATTAGCAGTCACAGGTGATCCAATAGTGTAATTAGTTTCTAGGGCTTTCTCTTATAGGTAACTTTTACACACACATACAAACACACACACACACAACTGCATTTCAATTTAAAATGTTTATGAATCCATTGTTGCCAGATTTCCTATTTTGAGCCCATCAATTCATTTGAATAATCAACAAAATCATCAGTCTCCTTTCAGGCTCTAAACTGGATTTAAAAGATTGACGTTTCTTAAAACTCAAATTGAGTTGGGCTGTAACTGCATTCCCAGAGGGACCTGAATCATACACACACTGTATAATGAAATACACTTTTATTTTATTAGCGGGTAATTTATGCTCAGAATCTCAAAACACTAATAGAATTAAATAAACAACTGGGAGAGGGAACCAAATAAGTCACGAGATAAAATTATTTAGCTAAAGTTAGAATTGGAGTAAGGCATTGCATTTAAAAAATTTTAACTTGAATATCAACTTGTTGAAAGGGAAGGCAGAGACTAGTGAGAGACAAGGACTAGTGAGAAAAAAAGGGCAAGAATCTTTTAGCAGTAACATCATCAGTGAAACAAAAGGGTTTTGTGTATGTTCATTGTTAGGAATCAGAAGTGCATTCCATTCAGAATGGGTGCATGCATAAAGATCAACAACTTTCTCCTATTAATACATCTTCAAAGTTAAACACTTTAACCCCAGCATTTGACTCCCACTTTATACAAAATAAGGCTTTTTCTCTTAAAAGGAATTAAAAAAGAAGTTATAGTGTGGATTAAATTGAAAAATTTCAGACATTGAGGTCCAAGAGCTATCCAGTCATTGCGTTCTATCCATTAAGAATTGCTTTTCTTTCATGGAGATAAAATCACTTCCTATTATCAAAGCAACCTTCTTGATTCTTGTATTTTTAGAGGACTCATGAGAAAGTGTAGTAAATTGAGGACAAGATGGACGGGGAGAAGTTTGTCGCTATCATTTTAGGATCCCACGATGAACGTATCTCTAAAAGAAGCTGTTTGAATTTAACACATTTGCGGAGTACTTGTTTCTCAGTCTGTACACCCTCCTGGACAGCGTGTTCCTTCAGGACAAAAACTAGTCTGATTAAGGGCATCTTCCCAGAACCTCCAATTAGGCCCGGCATACATGGATGCCCAGTAAATGTGGAAAGATTGGGGTGGACAGACAAAGTATAATAGAAATAAGGATGAATTTGTAAGAGATCAGCAGAATTTAACACAATGAGAAATGTGAGTCCCTGGTTCATAGGTGAAAACTACAGGAAATTGAGAAAGAAATCAAGACAAAATAGTGCAGTTGACTAGAGCAAATAGTTCCTTCTCTACTTCAATTTTTGGTTCGTTTGACGAGCGTTTGTACGCTCAGAAAAGAAAAGAATAATTTAGCTCTACAGGAGTATTGACCAAAATGGGCTTCTTGCATCTGAGACCGAGGGAGGAAAGAGGCAGGCGCAGAGCTGGAAGACAGTCTTTCCCGCCTCCTATTTAGAGGACAAGGAGGGGGGTCGGCTCTATGAAAACTACATTTCCCAGCGTGCCACATAGGGGCGCCGGCAGGCGTGAGCGCAGCCGTGGCGAGATGCTTTTTGGGAGTTGGAGTTTCTGCTTCTCCAGCTCGGCACGCTGCCTCAATTTGAAGCGTAATGAGACCACGTGGTCGGAAAACCGCGGTTTCCCTTTGAGCCGGAACAGGATGACTGCGTTGACCAAGGCCGGCAACTAACAGGACCAATCGGCTGCCTAGAGTCAGCCGTTGGCATTTGAAACCAACCAATGGTAGGCCAGTGCTGGAACTTCCTCTCCGCCTCCATCGCCTACCCTGAGAGTGCTCCGAGGGAACCGAGGAGGCGGCGGCCGTAACTGGAGACTGAGATATTTGCTTCCGTGAGAAGGCCGAGGTAGCGGGCGAGGCGACGCGGTGCAGGAGGGAACTCGCTACAGACTTCCTAGGCCCGCGGCAGGCGGACGGGGCGGGGGACTCGCTTCATCATTTTTTTCCTTTATTACTTTATGGGCCTGGGGGAGGGGAGGAGAAGAACCAAGTGTAGACTCTTGGCGGGCGAGGCTGGGAGCTGCGCTTAGCTGGCGGTGGCGCGGGGCGTGGCAGGGGACGGATGGTGTAGGCCAGTCCCGACCCCGGCGGGTTCAGGCTCTGCGCAGGCGCAGACTCCTCTCTGCCCTAGCTCTCTCGGCCTCTACCTGGTGCCCCCCCCACC